AAGCTCTATCTTGAAGTTTCTATCTTCAAATTTGGCTTGGAAGCGGGATCTAAACTGACTGCGTGGGAAATCTTTACTCTGCTCCATCAAATATTGATCCAGGATAACTTGGATCTTCGGTAACCGCCCGTTATACACATTAATCGCCGTCAACGAACACTGTACAACGACTGCGGACGGTGGATTTATGTATAGATCTGCGATTTTCTTCACTGAACTCCTGAAAATTTGGCTTTTGTCACTTTTCTTGTGATCCAAAAGGACTTGGAAGCGCTAAATTACCTATACGGTTCTCTGCCGTGTATAGTAGTGCATGCAAACCACGTTCATTCTACCCATCCTACCCAAAGTATTTTCTACTGCTGCTAAAAACTGACTGCTACATTGGATCTGGCGTTTTTGCTTTGTGGCATCAAGATACTGCAGTCTGCTGTAGCACTTTTCCTGACTGACTCGACTTTGAATCGCCTGGCTCGTATTCCAGTCACAACCAAATCCTTCCTGACGTCGCTACGGTCCGCCTTTCCACATCTAGCCCTTCTACCAGCAAGTGAACCAGGGCTTTCGACTTTTGGGCTGCTATCTTTGCTGCTGCATACTTGAACCTACCCGTCCCAAAGGCTTTTTGTCTTTCGTGAGTTTGTTCTTTGCTGTTTTCTCCTGCATCTGCTTGCTCGTTTCGCTTTTTGCTTATTCTTGGTTCCACCTTCCAAATAACTATGGCTTTTGATACTAACGATAAATGTGGCGAGCACAGTTGTGGCACTGCAGTCACGGAAGGCATACAGTGTGACCGATGTTTATTATGGTATCATAGCACCTGCTCTAGGTTAGACCGTTCGTCCATTGATCTGTACACCCAGCATCCCCAACTGAAGTGGATCTGTTTTCACTGTGTGTGCCTAGCTGATACTTGTGCTCGCTTATTACGCGAGCGGCTTGATGCTCCTCCACAGTTGCCTGATGTTAAGAGGGTAGCTGACGCGAAGTATCTGCAGCGGCTCTCCACCGCAGAAAAAGCGATCAGCGACCAGGCTTTGATCATAGATGCACTGCGAGTGAAGATTGACGAGTTGCGCGATTCTTTAAATAGCTACGCTCAGAGTGCGGTGATTGCCATGGGCAGGCAAAAAAATGTTCTTATCTACAATCGGGAGGAGCCGGTGATACACGAGGCAAAGGCTCGACGAGACCTGGACAGGAGACGAATACACGACATCCTCCGCATAGCCGGGATACCTTTAAACGTCGGTATCAAAAGGGTGCATCGTGTAGGTAGCTGGAGAGAGACTGGTCCACTGCGTCAGCAAGGATTTGCTAGGCCGATTCTGGTTGAATTTAGGAACCCTGTTTATCGTGACCAAATGCTTAACCGAGCCGGCTTAATCGAGAGTCAGACTAATGGCCGGTATCAGGTGGCCCCGGACACACTTAGCTCACATGCCAAGGTCCCGCGGGTATGTCAGTCGGAAGATACTAATAACCGCTTGGCTGGCGTGTCTGCGACCTTGGTTAAGGGTGCTCCTTTACGTGGTCCCCGCATTGCATCAGTGCCTACCAGGGATGATTGTCCCACTGCAGCGGAGGTCGTTCCTTCGAACTACCACACCACAAATTCAGTATCAGATGCAGGTACCGCGAAAGGTGCTTCCTCACAAGTTAGTTCAACCGGAGGTACTTACAGCCGATTGATAGTATACCCTGCATCTCCGGCCGCTAGGGTCAGAGTCAGTCAGCAACATGCCACGATTACACCAAAAGGAACTGGGTGGGACTGCACTCCTACCACAGCGGCAGTTGTCTGCTCGAGTCCTCAAACAATGCAGGTTGCAAAGGGAATAAGTCGCGAGTTACATGTGACAACGACCAAAGTTTCACTGAACGGAAGTACGACTTCCAACTTGTTATCAAGGGGAAGTTGCGGGGTTGCGGACATGAACTTACAGGTGGAGCATCCAGGACTATTTGATGACGCTCGCATAATGTCAGATGCTTCGGAACTCAAGGACACTACGTGCATCTCGCTGATTGGTTTGGGAAACCAGCGCTGTGAAACTCCCAAGGCTGACCTTGCAGGAAATTCGGAAGGCAGCGTTGCTAGACCTTCTAAGTTAAAGGGAAAGAAGCAAGTTGGTAGATTACGAAACAACTCAAGTCGGACGGAACCTGACAAGGTTTCTGCTCGTGTTGACCTACATGAGCCTAATCTTGACCCAGCATTGCAGGCGGCGAACGATAACGACGCGCTGTCAAAAAACGGGTTGTACCCTCGGGTGCTGCGTCCGAGGGGAAACAACCGCGTCAAGCAGGACTAATTGTATGGTATACCAATTGCTGCAGTGTGAGGAACAAATGGGGAGAGATGGTGAGGCGCTGCGGATGTGCTGATGTTGTTGCCTTGACAGAGACATGGCTTTCTCCGAGCGACATGGTTAGCGACCTGCTGGTAGATTTCGTGAGTTACCGAGTAGATAGGCCTGATCACCACACTGGCGGGGAGCACTATTGCTTATAAAGCGCCAGTATAGTCATTGGGAGGCTCCGTTTATGATGAGTAATACGAACGTTCAGGTGGTGTCTTGTTACTTAAGGATGATGGGCAGGTTGGAGATCTTTATATGTGTCTACCGCAGTCCATCGTCCACACGAGAGGAGGACAAAGAGCTCGGTGCACTATTGAGGCGCGCAGTGGTTGCTGCGCCTAATTTCCTAATAGTTGGTGATCTTAACCTTCCTCATGCGGATTGGCAAGGCACGGCAAACAGAGCGGATACCTTGGAACAGGAACTGGTTGACTGGATGCATGAGAATGCAGTTGAACAATACATCAATATACCGACCAGGAGCCGAATCGGGAGTGCCCCCTCCACGTTGGATGTTGCCATCACCAAACACGGTCGTTTCGCAGAGCTACAAGTGGAAGCACCTTTAGGTAGGAGTGATCACTGCGTCCTCACTTTCTGCCTAAATACATTGAAGCCTGCACGACATCCTCGCCTCGTGAGAAATTTCAGCCGCATCGACCACATGAAATTGAGGGATAGAGCCCTCCAGGCCAATTGGATCCCTGACCAGGAACAGGCATCTTTGGAACAAGGGTGGTCTGGGCTTAAAACTGGTTTAGTACAACTATTGAATGAGTTTGCTCCTATTCGTCCTGTGAGACACTTCAGCAAGCCTCGGTGGTGGATGAGGAGAATTGATAGAGCTCTAAAGAGACGAAATGAGAAGTGGAAAAAATTCAATGAGGCCAAGGGCTTTCGTCGATGGCTACAGTACACAAAAAGCCGGAATAAGGCTATCAAGATGCAACGGCAGGCTAAATACTCTTATGAGCTTCGGCTGGCCCGGTATGCGAAAACAAATCCAAAGTGTTACTACGGCTATGTTCAGTCTAAAGCCTCCCTAAGAGAGGACGTTGGGTGTCTAATTATGGAAGATGGCAGCCAGGCTGTGGAAGCCAGAGATAAAGCTGAAATGCTGCTAAGAGTCTTTCAGAATCTGCATAGGAGCGACAATGGATGTGCTGCACCATCGCAGCCACACTGTGTCAGCAGTTATATAATGCAGGACATCGTGCTGACTGCGCAAGAGGTCTTTACTGTGATGACTAACTTGAATCCCTTCAAATCAGCCGGTCCTGACGATGTACATCCGGCAATAGTCAAGCCACTAGCTGACATCCTTCAACATCCTGTTCTGGAGCTGTTCAACTTGTCGCTCCAGGAATGCAAGTTGCCACGAGACTGGAAGGAAGCAGCCATAGTTGCGATTCACAAGGGTGGCTCCAAATCGGAGCCCCTTAACTACAGACCCATCAGTCTAACCTGTGTTCTGCTCAAGTGTTTAGAGAAGCTTATAAGAAACCGGATTTGTGAGCATTTGGCGGAACACAGTCTACTTAGAGCAGAGCAGCATGGTTTCATTAAAAAGAAGTCGTGCCTCACTAATCTACTGTGCGTTCTCGATGAGATTACTCGATGTCTTGACGACGGGATTCCGGTAGAGGTCTGCTATCTTGACTTTAGCAAGGCTTTCGACTCAGTAAATCACCGTTTCCTACTTGAAAAATTAGCATGGTTCGGAGTACATCCTAGACTTCTGTCTTGGGTGTCAGAATTCTTATGTGGGAGAACGTTTCGAGTTAGAATCGGTGATGTGAGTTCTAGTGTGGGCGTGGCCTACAGTGGAGTACCCCAAGGATCGGTGCTAGGTCCACTTTTGTTTCTTATGTTTATAAACGACTTGGCTCCTCTTATTGAAGACCCCTGTTATATCTTTGCGGATGACTTGAAGCTAGTCAGCAGGGGCAACCGTGCAACACTGGCCAAGGATATCATCAGTGTGGCAAACTGGTCGAAGCAATGGGACTTGCCCTTGAATGCAAGAAAGTGCCAAATTCTGACCACTAGTAGAGACGTACTTGCAGTTCAGACTTCCTTTGGGCCCTTCCCCTTACAATGCACTACCCAGGCACGCGATTTAGGAGTCATCATGACGAGCAGCTTCAAGCCTTCGATGCAATGTCGATACGCCGCCAACAAAGCGCGACGAGAATTGTTTCGCCTCAGGAGGGCTCTGTGTAATACCAAGCCAGAAGTGTTCCTGCCACTATACAAAGCAGTGGTTAGGCCACACTTAGAGTATTGTGTTCAAGCTTGGTCGCCCTATCTCCGTGGTGATGTTCTTTGCCTGGAGAAGATTCAAAGACTAGCAACCAGGATGGTTGAAGGTCAACGGGGGAAGCCGTATGAAGATCGCCTAAAGAGCCTGGGGTTGTTTTCCCTTGAACGGCGTAGACTGAGAGGCGATCTGATAGAAACATTTAAGATCATGAAGGGCCTCAGTGCCATCGTGCCCTCTGATTTATTTGAGCTGGCTGATTCTGAACGCTTGCGTGGACATCGCTTGAAGCTCAAACAACAGAGGGCTAGACTGAACGTCAGGGCTAAGTTCTTCTCGAATCGTGTAGTGCGCAACTGGAATAAGTTGCCTTCGGAACTAATGGATTGTGAGACTGTGGTTGCCTTCAAAGCAGGCCTAGACAGGTGCTGGCCGCGTATTTTTCCGGAATTAATATAATCCTATCCAATTTATTCGCATTGATATCCGATGTTGATCCTTGTAAAAGCAAAGATTGCTCTCGCTTTTGCTTCATTTCTTTTTGCAGAGGCAAGGAGAGGCGATCAAAAGTCGAAGTGCCGGGGGCTCTGGTTCGCTTACCGGTACAAGAAGCTGGACGCTCGTTAGGCGGAAGCCTGTATCGTCCACGGATTTTGACCTGACCTGACCTGACCCTGCTCCAGTGAGCCAAAAGAAGAAGCGGACTAGATCTGCTCGTAAAACTTCGATGGGGCTTGAAGACCCAGGAACTAGTAAGACGCCGGCAATAGAGCGGAAAACCTGCGCTACCGTTGCTTCGACGTCGTTTGTGAAGACTGGGACAGTCCCACCGCCAGTGGTGAAAACATCTTGATAGGTGTCTAATCAGAGGTTGGGGTACACTCCCCGTCGTGCCGACTCTTTCATGGATATTAGCGTTATATTCCGTAACGTTACTGAATCTGCGGCCGCTCTCCCAATGGTACGCATCTTGGATGACATCAAGTGGCTGAAACTGTGTCAGCAAGCTGCTTCCACCTGGCTTCCCTGGTGTCACTGTCAGAAAGCTGACCAGATTGGGGAACGCCCCTATCACTACGCCAAATCCGCGACCCCGATTACTTCGCGTGGTCTTTTCCACTCCGGAGGAACGCAAATCATTACTGCGGTTTGCATTCAAACTTAAGAGTAGTGGTGTCAGCGTTCAGCCGGACCTGCCACTGGCAGATAGATGGAAATTAAAGGCTATCAAAAACCTCAAAACTAGACGGGCGGTTGGTGAGCTACGCCTCCGTCTGGTGGGTTTTCAGGTGATCAGTCGGAAGTTATCTTCGGCCCTATCAGAACTCATCCTGATGGCACACGACCCAGGGATGGTCGTGCCGATTTCCTTGTGGTAGTACTTAGCAACGTGCGTAGCCTAAGGAACAAGGTGCACGAGTTGGATCTACTTGTAGACAAATCTCGTCCCGACATACTTGGTTTCACTGAGACGTGGTTGTCTCCGGATATCACGGACGGTGAGGTTTCTTTACCCGGCTACGCACTGCTTAGAACTGATCGCTCCGTTGGTCGCCAAGGCGGAGGCGTTGTACTGTGAGTTGTAACTTAGATGTGTTGAGGACCTGCACATTCCAGTCGTCGGATCAGACTGTTGAAGCCCTATCGGCTGTTTTGTGCACTTCCTCTACCCAGTTTACAGTTGTAATGATATACAGAAGTCCTGGAAGTTCTTCCAGGGGGATACTTGACTTTATTCGCACTCAGTCCGCGAATAAGTATTTAGTTCTAGAGGATTTCAAGCTCGCGGAAGTTTGTTGGGCCGATCTTTCTTGCAATTCGGCATCAGGAACATTCGGTGCAGACTTTCTTGAACTGACTCTCCAAGTGCCTTTGCACCAGTTCGTGGCGTTCCCTACTAGGTATATGGACAACCAAATACCATCTACTTTAGATTTGGTTTTCGCTAAGTCCCTGGACTTCGTGACTGACGTTTCATACGGTGCACCTCTAGGGTCCAGCGATAACGCATGCATATCCTCTTTCAAGGCACCAAGAGACCGTTGTTGAATTACTTCCGAATATTTGGCGGGCGGACTTTAGTGCAATGCGAACTAAGGCTTCAGTTCTGAACTGTGAGATCTCGATGGCTGACTCTGTCCAGTTAGCCTGGGATAAATTGAAGGCATGCCTTACGGAGGTTTCCACTCCCTATATTCCACTCATGCGAAAAAGAGGGTTAAGGGCACAACCTCCATGGATAGATACCACAGGCAAGTACCTACTCAAGAAACGGTCTAGATGCTGACGAACCTACCAAGCAGCTCCATCAGCCAGTACCTATGATAGTTATCGAGTGATTCGAAATAAATGTAAGCAACATCTCAGAACTGTTCGTCCCCAGTACGAGCAGGGTTTAGCGGACTCGGCCGCAGCTAATCCCAAGAAGTTTTTTGCTTACGTTAAAAGACGCAGCGAGGTAAAACTGTCTATACCAGCGTTATTGCGAGCAGACGGGACCCGTGCGCAAACTGACTATGACAAGGCTTGTATACTGAGTGTTCAGTATACTGGGGTCTTTGCTCGGGAGACCTCTTTACTACAGGTTGAATTGGTTTCAAGAGTTCCAGAAGATTCTTGCTTAGCTGTGTTTAGCATAACGGAGACTCAGGTCTTCGAGCTACTGCAAGGCATTAATCCCTCTAAAGCTTCCGGTCCTGATTCAATTCATCCGAAGCAGTTGCATGAATTGGCCACTGAGCTGAGTGGTCCTCTCACCTACATGTTTTCAATATCGCTGGACAGCTGCATCCTACCTTCGGAATAGAAGGAGGCAATCATCTGTCCGATTTTTAAGGGCGGTGACAGCGCTCTGCTTGCGAAATATTGACCTGTCAGTTTGACAAGTGTAGTAGACAAGTTGTATGCAAAGCTGATAAGGGATTCAGTGGAGAACCACCTGAATCGATTCAACCTTCTCAGTGTTGCGCAACATGGATTCCGTAAGGGATTTTCATGTCAGACTAATTTACTTGTAGCTCGTGAAAGCTGGGCCGAAGCGGTAGACAGTGGCCACGCTGTAGACGTGTTATTCGTAGATTTTTCGTAAGCTTTTGACACTGATCCACATCTTCGGCTCTCACTAAAGTTGAGATCTTACGTGATATCTGGTCGCGCCCTTCAATGGGTGTCTGCCTTCCTTGAGGGGAAGGAACAGTGTGTACGGGTGGGGCGTAGCCTTTCGCTCAGGCAAGCTGTCCTTAGTGGCGTCCCGCAGGGCTCTGTATTGGGGCCGTTGTTGTGGGCGATCTATGTAAATGACTTGCCGGGAGAGCTAGGGGTGTCATCACTAATGTTTGCTGACGACCTTAAGCTCTGCAATATTGTGGATATCCCGAGAGGTCCTAAGGCAATGCAGCATGCCTTGGATAGGCTCTGGGAATGGTCTACCTTATGATTGATGCCCATAAATAGGGCCAAGTGCTCTGTTCTCCGAATCGGAGCTGCAAATCCTCCCACCCGATATGTTGTCGGCGGTGGTGAACTCCCTGTTGTCACTCAGCAGGTTGATTTAGGAGTCGTACACGCATCAGCACTTCATTCTGGAGACAACTGGAAGAAGGCTGCTTGTCGAGGGTTTCGTATGATGTGGTTTATCCGCCGCTCTTTCGGAATCTTAACGGCCAAGTTGTTTGTGAAGCTATTTTCGGCATTCGTCCGACCCCACCTGGAATATTGTATTCAGGCTTGTCCACCATGTCTTAACCGAGACAAAATGGACTTGGAGAGGGTGTTACGAGTGGGCACTCGGCTAGTGTAGGGTCTAGGGGGACAGACGTATCCTGAACGCTTGCTCAGTTTGGGTATGTACTCCATGCACTACCGAGGGATAAGAGGGGACCTGATTCTCACTTATCGTATTTTGACGGGTAAGATTGGCCCGGACTTGTCAGGGCTATTTAGTCCCGCTACGTTACCTAATCTCCGCGGTCACCCACTGAAACTGCATAAACCACGGTCTGATAGGATTAGGACGGAAACTCGTCTATCGCGCCGAGTTATAGATCGCTGGAATTCTCTTCCAGATCACGTGGTTAGGGAACCTACGGTTAAGGGTTTTGCGCGCCAGCTCGATGCTCTTGGGTGGCAACAGCAAACCTTTCCTTTTTCCTAGCTGACTCACCTTCACTTTTCAGTTCTTTTTTATTGACTCAAATATCTTGGTATTCCACTTGCTTAGCTCTTTCCACTTTCTCTTTTGCCTTCTGTGTTTACTTTTTTCTCTTACTTCACGTAACCGGCTCAGCAGGGACTGCTAGGGCAGGATACGTGGGCATTAATTGGTTGGACAGGGTGTGATGCGGTCTTTGTTTTAGGTCCATCAGTATTTCAATGTTCGCCAACTCCTGGTTCAACGACCCGTCGAAGAAGCAACACTCACGGGATAATCCTATCGTTCCAGTCCCGCATAAACTTGAACTTACGCTAATTGTCGTTATCTTCGTTAACTTTATTGCGTTTGTACAACTTTTTGAATAACTTTTGGACATTATGTACTTATCGCGGATTCGTTGCGAACCAACTTACTTCATATCCTAATTTAGGGTAGAGTTATGTCTGCATAGCCGTATTCTTTATCAGAGCTATTTTATTTGATAATGTCATTTAACGTGATTGGCTGTTGTTTGACATCCCCGGTGTGGCTGCGCTTGATGTGCATGTTGACAAGGTACCCGCCTGTCTACCTCGTCCATCTGGCTCCAGGAGACAGTTGGTCGTTGCTGGAGAGGACGGGGTGCACGGTCCTTGTGGTCGTGCTAGGCTCGAAGAGTGGTTCCATGCAGTCAGTGTGGAGCAGACTACGGTCCAGGCACCGCCTTGTGTGCGGTTGATTCCCAAATACAGCGTGCTTGTGTTTGCTTGTGAAGGAGTGTGGGCCGGCTCCGTTCATGAAACCGGATGCCGCCAGCCATATATATATATATATATATATATATATATATATATATATATATATGGCGGGAGAGCCCATGGTGCGCTGAGGCTGATGTTGGCTACATCCTGACAGATGATCTACCCACTGCTGCTACTGTTGTGCTATTGGCTCATGTACTGGACGCTTCCTCGTGGCGACCGCCGGTTGGGAACTGGGTTACCCCCTTCTTCTTGCTAAGATCCAAGACACTAATCCGCATGAGTCTGTGAACTGATCATGTGCTAGACCCGCTGCCTTTCGGGTGTACATTTAGTCGAGGGCTTTGGCTGAGGTCCCGAGTCGTTCTCCTGTTAGGTGTGGACGCCTTGCCAGTATCCTAGTCCATCCTCTTCGGAGGTTAAGAATTGGTCGATGGCCCTCCCCATAAAACCTAGCCATGGGACATAACAGGTCTACGGGTTATAAGCTCACAGCTCGATTGGCGTAGAGCACGAGTGCCACGCATTGTCTCTTACAGTGGGAGGGCACCTCTGGGTGTTCAATGGTTTGTTACTGCCTGCCTCAAGCCACGCAGTCCCTGGTCAAATTGGTGCAAACCCGCCAAAACCCACCTGCTTCTGGCCGTGCTCGCAGGTATATCCTACTACAGTCGCAAAACATATAAATCGTTCCAGTACCTCAAAGGCTGTGTGTGACGGCCGTCAAGCAGACCCCAATCTGTCTCTGCAATCACATTCCCGAGCTGGTTGTGCTCTCCAC